TAATTGTGTAGAATATTTTTAAAATGGCTTTTTAGTTTCTACTAAAAGTTATTTTTGTATTTATTTTATCTGACAAAATACCACGCTTAGGAGTTGATTAAAAATCTAGTCTAAATGTGGTTTAGTTTAATGCTATTCCACTGTATCACCTGCATTTTCCATTAGGGGACTTACCACATTTGATATTATTTTTACGGCTGCCAGGGATCTGTTTGCCGACATTGATGCGGCTCAAATTAAGGCTCGTTGGATAAGATATGAAAATCGCAAATATACAATTGTGGCCAATAAACAATACGAGCGATGCCTAAATATAAACTGGTACAGTTCAACGAACCAGAAGTAAAGGTAGTTTCCCCGGGCAAAGAAAAATGTTGAAAATGTTAAAATAGAAAAGGGGAAAAAGGAAAAGACCTGGCGATCTAACGATGATCTATGTTTGGGACAAACGTGTCATAACAGCAAACAGAAACCAACGAACCATAAAACGAACAGCAGGCCAGGCACTTTGATATGGGGTTCCCTAACCCCTGAACCCCACCCTGCGCCCCTTCACCGCCATTTGTTGACTTAATTGTTATCGCCCTCTGACTGCTGCACAAATTGTTCGTGTTTGACAAGTAGTTGTCAACAGTTTTTGATAAAAAAAAAAGTTAAATTATTGTGTGTGACATGCTGACTAAATCCCCCCTCTCCATTTCACACCCCCCCTTTGCAGCGGTCATAGGAAGCCTCTGGCGACCGCGACGGATGTTTTTATTTGGTTTGCATTGCAGTCGCTGCACGTTCATAAATTTATTAGAGAATTTATGGCTTTCGGCAATCGTTTTGACTATTTGTTGCGACCTGTGTTGTGTGTGAGGTGAAATTAAATTGATTTTCAATCAAGGCAGTAAATTATACTCAAAATATATAACACATTTTTGGGGGATTATATGTATTTCATTGGGTAAATATTAGAGCTGATTTCGATGGAAAATGAGTTAGGTTTTGGGGCCACTATAATAAAAGATGTGGCTTGATAACGCTTCTGCGCGATAATCATAAATCAAAGCTATTAATTTCAATGTAGAAACAATTATTTCAATAATATTTTACTCTATTGAACTAAATTTGAATGTATTTCAAACAAATTGCAAATAAATCTTAGTAGTGTTAACTATAAATAAAATATAAAAATACTTTTTTTTATTAATCGTTTAAAATTGATATATAATTATTTTCTCTACAAAAATATAGTTTCTGTGGACTTCTTAATTTTTACTAGTAAATACCCCTATTCACTTTATAATTAAATTATTTTTTAAACAATGGTTGTCAAAATAGTTGTGCACGCATAGCAGGGATCTATTTTAATTACAGCAGCCAGGTCCAACTTTCCGACATTTTGACGGGTAGCAAATTCTTAGATTCTTGGCTTCATTATTATCAACACGTTTACAGTAAATTGTGCAAATTGAAAACGCATACAAGTAGCGTATGCCACAGGGAATGCCTCTGTGGCAAGTGAAGTGTGGGGGTGGGGAGACGGGAGAGGTGAGAGGGGGGGCGTTGGAGTAAGGACACTCGAAATATGTCAAGGTATGCAAAATCCACTCCCAGAGCCAAGTGTTTTGCGGGCTAAGCGCTTTCTTGGCTACCAGCCAACTTGGCTAATGCCAAAAGACAAGTAACCACAGAGCCAGAGCCTATCTGAATGGATATATATGGCTCACAAATATGCATGTGCGTGTGGCAGTGTGTTCATGTGTGTAATCCACCCGCCGCACACCCACTTTTACAGTGAAGACAATTACAGTAAACAAATTCGCACACGTCGTCAGTTGCATTTGCGGTGACAGGCTGGAAAACAAGGCCTGAAAATATAGAGAGACTGTGGGAAAGGGGCGGGGATGCAGAGGGGTTGGGGCGAAGTAATGGGGCCACTGTTCCCCCCTTTTGCCAACCCCTCCTCCGTTTTGCGGTCAGGGCCGTTCCTTGGTATTTTTGGCAGAGCATTTTCTGGCCATGCATGAGATTTGCATTTTTTACACAGCAAAAAATAACTTTAACAATAGCAAATGGAGAAAAAATATCATCTAAGATGAATCCAATTTTGATACTTTGTTGTATTAACAATATTTTGTATTCTAAATTTATATTAAAATATATTAAAATAATTAAAACAGGCTTGTTTATAAATATAATTTTTAGTTGTGTATCTTAAATTAGGATATACGAAAGCTTAGAAGTTACAAATTCGTCTCTATATTCTTAAGGTTTCTTTACACAGTCTTATTTCTCCATTGAGTTGCGACAAAAAAATATATTATATATTTCTATCTTAAATCTAAGTTGTCAATAACGCACTTTTTACCATAAATAATGCCTCTAATGCAGAAACAAAATATAATTATATGATAACTCAGATAAAAACTGTGTAAAGTGGTATTTATTTCAAATTATTTTTGTTTATTAAAACATTACATTGAAACCAATTATTTGTAATATGAAGTATATAAATATATTAATATGCTTACGATTTTTCTGAGATATTCTTAAGTGGGAAGCGGTTTGTTATTGATGCCTACTTTTTGGTGATATTTTTTCCCGCGGTGTTGATACATCTCTCTATTCTCGTGGCTTCCCAGCCCCCCACTTTACCCCCCACCGCTTTGGGCCTCCCTTTACGTTCTACGTTCCTTTGCAATTTGGCAGTCCGTTGCCAGAAACAGTTTGCCATAGCATACTTTTCTGGGCCACGGCTTGATATATGTATGCAGGTCCTGCCAGCCAGCGAGTGCATGTGTATGTGTATGCACGTTGCAGCAATTGAATTGAATTTCTGCTGCTCGAGTTCTGAGCTCTTGAGCCACAGAGAAGAGTTCGAAAGCGAAGAATTCCAACATTGTCGGGGCAGGTTTAACTTGCAATAGCTTCCTTTTTTCACTTTTCCTCCGCTTTTCCGTTGGCCATATCTTTATTTTTGTATTCCCCCCAGACAGAGTGACTCGCTGACTGAGTGACGCCTCGGTTTCTGGCCAACTGCCATGTGGGAAGTGCTCGGTGGCACAACCCTTTGCCATGGCCGAAGCCGATTTATGGACGAGCCGTTGCAAAAACGCATAAACACATCATAGCCAAAGGAGCCTGCGGGGGGGGCATCCCCTAATCGATAAGTTATACAATGCAATTGCAGGGAAAAGGGAAGCCAAATCCTTTTGGGTCACTTGGGGATCCCAAACAGCTCGCAAATCGATGGCACATAACTAAAATCTGTTTGGCTTTCGTCTTTGTCGAGTTTGATTGACTGGCAGCAGGTCAATTCGGATATCGGGATATCATTGGGCTGATGGCTTTGGGCCAAATCTGTTGTCATTTTCCATTTCATTTGCGAGGCCAAAAATTGTGTCATGGCCCCGTCGGCCATTAACTGCAACTATTGATGTTTGCCATTAGTTAACACAAAATAGATGCCGTGCCGACTGCATCTGCATTTGCTTTTGTCAAATTCATTTCATTTTTCGTTTGCTAATTTTACGACAGCAACATATGGCCACCGAATCGGGGCACTCAGCGATTGTAGGCGCTGGAACATCGCGTAAAAGCCATTAATTTAAATTTAAAACTATAAAGACGGAGGGGCAGACACGTCCATAAAAGTCTGTTGTTTCTGCTGTTGTCATTGCAGTTGTCATAAAAAGCCTGTCACACTATTTGTTTCTCCACGAATTTATGACACCAGCAATGTGGGGATTCCCCTCATTATCACATACAGATATCGTATGTAATTCGTAAATCAGGATAGTCGAGTGAATAAGTATCCTAGAGATAGGGAATGGAAAATCATTCGCTTTTAATAAGACCTAGCAATCAGCGGTCTTTTGTCCAGATATTTATTGTCCTGGCTGGCGGCGTTTTTCCGCCTTTCATTAGACACTATTTTCTGGGGCACAACGATTAGTGAGTTGAAAATCGCCTTAGCCCACTTTTCCCCCCCCTCATCCATTGTCATTAGTGGAATGCGCTCGTATTTCAGTGGCAGCTGGAAAAACAATCATTGCCTGCTGCGAGTTTTATGGGCCAACATCAGCCAAACTGCTCCGATTGTGTCGCTCAGCTGGCTTACAAAAATTGCAATTATAAGCAATTTAAAAGTTATTAACGCGACAGTCAGTGATGGAACAAGTTAAGCCAATCGGTTCCTACTTCTTGCTGTGCATTTATATATTGTAAATTGTTAAGCCCACGCCGGGAATCGGAAACTATGGCCACTTTGTTGTTGCAGCCGAGCTGGCCAACACGCCCACTGCCATTTTAAAGCCATAAACAATTAAACGAGACAACCCACACGCCCACACACAGTCACAAAGCTATGAGTAAATATTTGATTTGTGCGATAATTCGAAAATGATATAGGCGCAGCAGGCGTTTCATAATGATGCAACAGAAGATGAGCTGGGAAGATGGATAAACAGGGCTTATTTTACAAAAAGCTATCGCAATATTTACATGGCAATATGGTGATGTAAAGAATTAGTGGCCAATTAATTTTATAAATATTTCCAAGTGACTTAATCCTCGAGAAATCTTCTAAATGTTTTTCAGAACTAATATATTACTTAATAAAAAATAAATACAATTTGAACAAATTGAATAGGTAACTAAAAAATACATAAAAAGCTAAGTTTTATTTAAAGGTACAAGGTACTTATTGAATAAAGCTTAAAATCATTCAGTAATAAATATATTTCATTCTATAACAAAAACAAGTAATGAATCATCAATATATTTTAATATTCTTTTTAGGAACTAAAAAGCAAGAATAATTAAAAAGATATAATCATACAACATTTATTTCCCTTTAATAGAATCTTTACTTATTTTCAAGTCTTTAGGTTTTTATCTTAGCAATTAAGTCTAATCCACCCTGTTTTCTCTTATTGCTAAGTTGCCTAAAAAGAAGACAAAATCCCAATTGCCAATCTTTACTCATCCGCAACGTAATTTTAATTTTGCAGGCGCCATTTGCGGAGGAAGCTGCTGCAACAATGCCACGGAGCTGGAGCTGCGTGACAAAGCCGCCGCGATGTTCAAGAATCTGCTGCACCACCACACCAGCAGCCTGCGCGGAGTCCTCGAGACGAATGCCAAACAATTCCAGGGTGAGTAGATGTCGGCGGGGGGGAAGAAAGGATTAGGGGGATTGCCGGGGGGATCTGAAGTGAAATCGAAAGGAGGCAAAATGCCTTTCTATGCAAATCTCTGGCCAAAGAGTCTGCAAAGTTGGCTGGTCTCTTTCCGAGCGTTAGACCAAAGTATATTTTTCGTGGCAATAAATAATTTATCATATGCAAATTCATCTGCCCTACAGAAATATCTCGGCGCAGAATTATGACGATATAAAAGTTCGCCTCGCAATCTGCGAAGTGAGCTAACCAAATTAAACTTGAAACGCGAAATGCGAAATTGATTTGTAATTTGAATTTGTATGCAGATCAAAGCGACTGTATAATAAAGTGAAATAAAAATATAACCAAGGTATATAAGGATTCATAACCATAACCGAGTTGGCTGTTTTAAAATGCAGCAAACGCGACTCTGACTGCATCTAATTAAAAAGGCATTAAATAATGTTGTTGTCGCAGCAGTTGCTGTTGTTGTTGTTGTTGTTGTTGTTATGGCCGCTGTCCCTTTTTAGACAATTTTGCAAACTTTGTCTGGGTCACGTTTTGGGTGCTGCCACGCCCCCACATCCCGCCGCCCCTTTGGGCTGCCCCTTTCACACAATGCCTGCAAATTGTTGTCGTACATGCTGTAAATCTCGCTTCATTTTAAAGCAAGTTTTTGGGGTGCTGCCGCTGCTGATGTTGCTGTTGCCGCTGTGATGTTGCTGCTGTTGCTGTTGTTGCTGTTGCTGTTGTTGCTGTTGCTGCCTCATTGTTGTTCTCGAAGGTCTGAGTTGGCAATTCTTGGAAATGGGCGCGCATTCAAAAAGACTTTAAACACGCCCTCCTCATTCTACATGCCCACACATATTCGGATATATACTGCATGTTTGCGCGAATCCGCAATTTATATAAATACATTTGGCTCATTTGTTTGCATTTTGTGTGTTGTCATCAGCTTAATTTATGCAAGCCCATTGATTCATTCGCATAGGGGCTCATTAAATTTTGAAGCTTCCTTTGGGCTATATGACTGCAAAACAGAACACAGTAGTCATTAAATACATTAGTTGACTACTTGAGTTTTAAATTTATCAATTTGTTGATGGCCACTCAAGCAAAATTGTTCGATGAAATCACAGAATACTCTTGAACATTTGACCTTCGGTATAAAGCAACCTCTTTGTTGGTCATATTTAAAATTTGAAACTTTTAATCTTAAATATTTTATTATCGTTTCTAAAACGATAACGGTCCACTTCGAACATGAACTCCCAAAAGCACAATCAATACTTTTGTTAATGGAGCTCAATAATTCTTTTATTTGATTTCCAGTTAAATTAATTTCCAATTCACTTGAACTGCACAGTATTTCTCAAACAATTAGCATTCAATTTGCATTGGGGAATTTAATAAACAATGATGTCACACAAGGCAAACAGTAGAAATGTCCCACGTTGTATTCGATAAGCAAAACATGCAAAAAATTAAAATGCAATCGGCAAAGTCATTTAGCCTAACAATCGAGCAATATAGCAAATAATAATAATTATTTAAAACCAATTGCGGCAGCAATTTATTTGATTTTGCAAATGCTAGGCCAAAAACAAAGGCAAATGCAATAGTAAAAGTCAGCGATCGATTGATGGATGAATGGGGTGCAGCTAATGCTCGGTAAGATTAATGAAACAGTTGGCTAATTGATTTAAAATATAATATATATGCCCGACAACTGGCGAGTTGGGGCCGGCTGTTGATATGGTTAAACGATAGTTAATGGGAACTGAAACTGTTTGCTTGTCTGCTGCTGATAACGGGTTGCTTGTTGGCCAAAAACTTCTGGCCCAAACGGCGTACTTGTGCTTATCGGCGAGTCGTTGCGTTGGCACGCGTTTCCTTTAGTTGCAGCAGAGTGGCCATAAAAATTGATTTACTTTCTTGGAGCACACCCGGCGTATGCGTGATGTTCTCCGCTGGGAACAGCACTCCAGCCCCGAAAAATGCGCAACTATAAAACTTTATGCATTTCTTGGCAATCGCTGGTGTTATTGCTCTTTCTCCTGGGTTCTCTCTAACGCATAAAATATTATGGTATGCGAAATAAATGCATATTTCTATTTTGTACCATAAACTTGCCAACTACAACAGCTTGTGGCATATGCAATACAAACCGGGGCTTCCTTCCTGTTCGAAAAACCTCTCGTTCCCTCTGCTATTTTTCCGGCTGCAGCTCTCATCCGCCCCCGTGCCACGCCTCCCGACCCCGCCCCTTCCGTTTCCGCGCCCATTGTTGCGACTCCGGCCCTCTCACTCGCACACACTTTGCTTTGCCTTTGTGCTGGCTGCTTTGTTCGACGTATTATTTTTAAGCAAGTATTTGCGTGTTTAAACACGTTTCGCAGCTTACGAATTATATGGGCCCGTTCCCCCAAATAACCCCAATCCGCAGATCTGCCCAATCCCCAATTCCCCAGCCACTCCGCCCCCAACGCAATGCGTTTCCATTGCACTTACCACGTAGCCGCCGTCAAACCACCATGATCATCATCATTCCTGATACTTTCTTTGTCGCCGATCCACTGAGAACAAATATCAATAACTATTTTATAAAATTAAATGATAATTGAATGATATGTCCAATAATTATGCTAATTTAATTAACTTTAACTGACTAAAAAACACACAGTTAGTCTCTTAAATCGTACAAAGCTTAGAAAACCCAAAGGAAACATATTCAAATTAAGCATGTACCTAGATATTATATATTTATATATTATATATTTTAAATATTTCTTTAAATTGTTTTTATTATTTACTTAAATTGCGCTATTTCTTAAAGTTTTTTTCACTGTTTATTGTCACTGTCGTTTTGGTGTGTTGCTCACGCGCTTAATGCGTTTGGCTGCAAAAACATTTCCACCCACCGTCCTGTCACCTGGCCGCCCCCTTACACCCCTCTTAGCCCCTTTTTGATACCCCTCCCTCCAACCCCCCGCCCCTGCATTTGAGGGCAGGGGCGTGCGCCAGCATAAAAGTTCCAAATGCTGACTTACTGCTCTGCCAGCACAACTTTTGCCCCTTTAAACAAAACAAAAACAAACAGCAAAAGTAAAAATGGAAACTGCAAAAATTATTTCTTTATTTTTGTGGCAGCCCCGGCAGCTGCAGCAGCAATGCGTGCACTTTCATAAGTTGCAACTGGCAACATTCCCCTCCGCCCCTCGCCCACCTCTATTCCTTTCTCTCTCTTGTTGTTGATGCAACTTGGCCCGGGCTTAAGTCTTCTCGGCCATATCTTGTGCTTTGCCTGGCTGCCTTCTTGTCTTTACGGCTAAAGTGGTTTTTTGGCCGCCATCGCTTGTTAGCCGGCTTTTGTTTGCCTTGTCACACAGAGTGCAGGCTGTGCGAGGTTGTTTGCCAGTGCCTCGGCCTCAAGTTGTTGCAGTGGCAGGTCCAAAGTTTCCTGTTGTTGTCATTAGGTTTCACTATGATCGGCCGGGGGTGGTGGCAATCTGGAGTAAAGCTCTGTATTTTTCATGACCTATTGAGAAACGTTTCGGATTTGGACACAGTTTTGTGTGAAGATTCCTTTAATGCCAGACAGAGAAGCAATGTCAGCAAAAGTAGAATTAACTTTTATTCATGATACTTAAAAATCAAAATCATAATTGTATTTATTCATTTTTTCCTGCCTGATAGCTACACAACTATTTTTACTGCAACAAATAAAGAAGTTTATGTTTATTACCAAAATTAAAAATTAAAAAAACAAAAAGATTTACATTTTATTCAGTGCATTGGGATGATTGATCTAAAACTTAACCAATAATAATTAAAATAAACCTTTTAAGTGTTAATCTCAGCCCAAGCTCGTTCACATCATCGTCGATCTTTTTTATTTGGTGTTTTTTTTAGAGGCGACCTTCAGACTCCAGTTTCGATTTCTCAATGAAATCGACAGGAAACTGAAGTTCAAAGCCAACGAACACCTGCAGATCGTGCGGCTAAGAAACGCCCCCGACTTAAAACCAGTTGTCATTCTAGTTGGCTCCCAAGATCTATTATTATTTAAATGTTTGACAAAGCAAATGCCGCATTACTAATGGAGCCTCGTCTTTAAACTTAAATTTCCACTCGTTTCATTAATTAGCGGCGTCTTAAACAAACACAAGCGATGCCATTTTGTCTGCCACTTGCGTTCCAATATCGCCATTTGTGTGCATATATAATTACCATAATTAGTTGCTTGGCAAATTAAACGCTGAAAGCTCGCGCTTGTAATTAACGCGCCACCAAAAACGGAAGGCAACTTGATACCAAAACAAAACAGCAGGCGATCCAATTTGGAGATGGGATTGGGATTGCAACTCGGAGTCTTGCCAGATCAAATAACTCCCATGCCCCGGCCAATTGATGCATATGCTTTGAAGCACTTCAATATGTCAGAACGGAGCTAAACCGAAAAAGAAGAATGTCGACCTCTGTGGACTGCATACTCCTCGGTTCCAACAATGAAAAGTCATCCAATTACTTTGACATTGTGTAGGGGCTCTAGTCGAGGCCCCTCCGAATCGCATTGGATGGTGTGGGCCTGGGTCGAGATGCGACTGCCTGCCAAGAGCGTCTTGCCACAGGGCTCACAGCTGTTGGAGTGGCGAGTTGGGTAGCTGGATGGCTGAATAGCTGGGTGACTGGATGACTGGATGGCTGGATGGCTGGATGGCCGGATGGCAGGGTACTCCGCCGAAGGGGCGTGCCAAGTTGGCACGCCTGCAGATAGCTAGTTACAATACATGCACTTAAGCTGACTGCCACGCACAGTGGGCTGGATTGCAGCTCCAGATGGTGCAGGTGGGGCAGGGAGTGCTTAGAATGGGAGTCAACTGGGGCCATCATGGCTAAGGCATATTAATTGTCAATTAGTTTTTAACTGATAGGACGTTATTATGGTGAGAATTATAAAAGACTAAAGTGAAAAGCCTTTTTGTGTGAGTTCT